GCAAAAGAAACAGGTTTATAATATAAAATCTCCCATATGATTACGTAAGGTAAAATTCATAAATTTTATCTGATTTTAATGCAATACAAGAGACTGCTTAAGGATTATAGAGGTTTATTTGAAATGAGTATCCTATAACGTAATCAAATGATATTTGAGATAATGCTAGATTTTAATTTAAGGAATGTGTGAAGACTGATGAGGTGCCAATGTTTGAAAATAAGGATGAGTTGAAACAGAATTTTGGGAATTTTGATTTTCTTTAATAATTCTATGATGGTGGATTTCTTTATATTGATTAAAATTATTATAAAAGTTGTCTGATTTTCTTTTGACATTAGGAATTTGTTTTTCCAATAAATTCATATCCGACAAATCCACAAGATCCACCACCACCGATTATTTCTTTAATCATATCTCGCATGTTATTAGATTTCAGCGAAATTATCATTATACAAGTTTACACATCTTTTTCTGATAAACTATATACTCTCCGAGATAATAAAAATAAGTTTTCAGTTGATATATATGGCGGATATGGAAAACGTCACACTATCTCTAAAGAGTTGACACAGGATATTAGAGAAATTGTTAGTGCATGTAAAGACATTGCCCAGGTATAAAAGTATTTAAGCTTCTGTGATAAAATTTGAATATACGATTAATTGCAATTGTTTAATTGATTTATAGAGAATTTTGGATCGATATGTGGAGATAGTTGGGATCGAATTTCTATGGACATTCGTGGTCTTTATACTATAAAATCATTCTCTACAAATTTAACTGATGTGTCATCACAACCAACGGGTGATTCAAAAATATCATTACAGAATTGGTAATTATTGAGAAAAAAGTCGTGATGCTTTATGGGACTGAGGAGGAAAATAATCTAGATGATCAAAGTAATGACAGATTTTATTGTACAAGAATGCTTATTCTATTAATCTAATACAAACTCGAACTTTTTTTTTGACACACGCGGGCAATAATTCTCTACCATCTACTGATCAGAATTCGGTAGTAAATCAAGACAACTCAGATACTATATGAGCTCCTTATGCTCATTCAATTTCCTCCTATTTATCCACAAATTCAAAATCTCGAAATGCGTCACTTATTTGTTAATTTTGAAACCCCCTAGTATAATTATCTTTAAGCATTCAATTTCTACTTAGGATCCAAAATTCATTTAAGTAAATCTATGAAAGAGAAGAACATTACTATTATTACGTTAGCATGGAAAATATTTATTAGATAGCTGTACTATCAATGTTCTTTTTTTTTATTTGTGTCACTTGCAGAAATAAGTAAACCCTTTAAATAGTTCGAATTTAACTATACATAGGTCTATTTTTTAAATTCCATTAGTTTATTTCAAAAAAAATATTCATATTCTAGA